TGTCATAAATATTATTGCCAATTTCGAACAATTATTAATGTAAATTAATGTTTTAATTTTGTTAAGTAATTTTAGAAATATAATAACAAAAAATAAATTAACAAAATACATTTCCTTAATAAAAATTGTTAAAAGAAATATATTAAAAACATTTAATTTAAAGTCAAAATTTTGAATCTCTTTTCTCTAACTTAAATATCGAATAAAACTTAACAATTGCATAAAAAACTTGCCATAAACTAAGAGATACTGAGCTTTCAAATTTTGTGCAACATTTCATAACTGTAGTTATGACATGCTAAACTAATTTAAAAAAAAATTCCATAAACAATAATTAAATTATTATTTTTTTTTTCATTTCATAAATAATAATTAAATAATTTAAATTTTTTTTTCATTAATAATAATTTTTATTTTTAATAAAAAAATATATACAATAGAAAATAGATAATGTTTTTAGTTAAATCTTTATCTGATTAAAATTACAACAGCCATAAATTAAAAATTGACTTTTAAAAATAATTAATTAAATTTTTTTAACGATTTAAGTAATTGAGTATTTTTGGATATTTCTGTTAATAAAGTAAATATTTCAATTTAAATAGTAAATCGCAAAAAAAAATGGAAAATTCATTTGAAAAAAAGAATACTTTGTTTGTTGTTGTTATTTTTATATAACATCAATTCAAAATGTTGCAGCACATATCTTTAATTTTAATAATATTTGATTAAAATTTAGGAAAATTAAAAAAATTACACACAGTCAAAAATAATTCTTTTTATTTCGCTAAACTTTTTATTACCAAAATTTAGAAGAAAATAAGGAAAAAATTTGCGCTAATTTGTAACAAAAAAAAAATTGAAGTCTTATATTTCAAAAATTATTTCCTTAAGTTTAGCAATTTCTTTTTTAAAAATTTATTTTAATATTTTAAAGAGTTAAAAATATTACATTTTGCCAATTCATAAAAAAATTATTTTTACCACAATTATAGGCAGCAAATAAAAAGTAAGTTATTGATTTAAAGTTTTTATAATTTTACAGTAATAATAACTTTTTGAGTTCAAGTTTGAGAGCAAAAGGAATTTCACAATTGCACGCAATATTTAGAAACAATTTGCCATAAAGCGTGAGAACAGTGAAAATCATTTCGATTGCAGACAAGTATTAAAAAAGTGCTGAATTATACAAAATATCAAAACAAAAATCAAAAATCAAAAAGTGCTAAGAAAAATTATAACAAATCATAAAACATTGAAAATACAACACAACAAATACTAAATTGCAAATACATATAACTAACTGTAAGAGACAACTCTGTTGCGCGAATAATCCTGTGCGAGCGCGATCCCCACACTACCGCCCACATTGCTGCGCAGGTACGCCGAACAGCAGCAGCAGCAGGTGTGTGTGCGCACTTATGCAAATGCAACAGTAACAACAAAGCGTGAAGAGAGAAAAGAAGCAATAATAGCAAAGAAACTCACAACCACAGAAATAAGAAAACACTCAGCCGCAAAGCGTGCAGCAAAAATCAGGGAAATAAAAAACAAAACAAAAAAAAAAAATCGAAATTAAATCACAAAAACTGAAACGATGGCTGTTGTCTTTTATATGCCCGAGGGCGGCGGCGATGACTCTGCATCGTCATCGAGTGGCGGTCACGGCAGTGCGGGCAGCGGCAGCGCTGCTTCGTCGACATCACAATCGCCCAACACAACCACATCGGCTACACAAACGCCCATGCAGAGTCCGCTACCGCCGCATTTTATGATGGCCTTCTACCAATATATGAGTAAGTTGCATTTATTTCCCTTTATTTCACATATATAATATTTATCACATTTTTTTTCTGTATTAAAATAAAACATTCTTTATGGATTTGAGGTATTACTTGTACTATACTTATTATGAATACCTATCACAAAATAAATAATATGTCTACATATTGGTATTTCTGCATATATGCAAAATGTTGCCTAGTGGGTGGGTGTGTCATCAATTTTATCGATTTTTCTTTCAAATTTACCATTACTCAAAACAATTCTTTCAATATTATATTTTGTTGAAATTATTGCTGTCAACCCCTTCGCGGTATAAATAATAACTGGGGCGTTTTACGTAGAAAATTTATTATTGAATTTTTCTTTTGCATAAGTTTGTACAAAGTTGTGATGAAGGAGTTGCGAAAAGGTCAAAGCCAAACTGAATTTTATACAATTACAATTCCTAGAATTTCAGAATTTCCGTTTTTATGCTTATGTATAGCGGATCGGTCAAAACAAGGGCTTTTCCTTGAAATTCAGAATTTCCGATTTGGTCGAAAAAACCAGTGTTGAAATAATATAATGATACAGTCGTTATTCTGCACCCTAGTTACCGAGCAGTAAGCCTTAAATTAGTGCATCTTCAGCATTTAGCATAATTTCTGGAAATTGCACCTAAATAATAGTCTACTTATCGGAGTGAGACTTTCAGAAATATGCCAAAGTGCAAAAGACTGCTCAAGTTTAAAGAGAGAAAGATTTATATTCTAAGAGCCATCAGCATAGATTTAGACTGTCCAACAGAAGGATATTTTAAAATCGGTATTAAAATATTGATACTTAAGCGCATTTAGCATAGTTTTAGGCGTTAGCTAATAATATCTGAAGTGTAGTAACAAAAATCCGAAAGACATAAATTTTCAAGATTCACATATTTTGTGCAGTTCAAGAACCCTTTAGCATGCTTTCAGGCTGTCAAACATTAATAGGTTTCTAGAATCGTTATTTGTGAATTCTCTTTTGAACATCTTTAGCATACTTTTAGGCTGCTAACCAGAAGTACGCAAAATATGCAAAGGTTTACTTAATTTTACTAAATTTTTAGATATCAAAATATTTTTAAATAAATGACTAAATCGGGTTAACACTAAAGTCAGTTGATTTCATTTGCATATATTGAAGAAAGCTTATCTTTATCTTTCATGACATAAACTCTGCTGAGTCTTCCTTTATTTTCCAATATGGAATTGTGTCGCCTTAAGATAGCAACGTATTTTTATAAATATTGCATAGTTTTACGCGCTCATGCCACAAATTCTTCTTGATATCTTCTGATACGAAAGATAAAGCTTTGATTAAATTTCTTTCTTCCAGGACTTTCCAGTAAATAATTTTAAATAGCTTTAAAACAGGAAAGTTTGATTTTTGTTTTAGCAGTTTCTTTAATACTACTAACTAAAAAAGGAAAAAAATATGATTTTTGTTTAGCAGTTTCTTTAATACTGCTAACTAAAAAAGGAAAAAAATATTATTTTAAATTAAGAAAGACTACAAGTGCTCATATTTTCTTCGTTAGCGATTTCCTAACAGCACGTTTTCGAGAAAACAACCGCTTTCAGCCCAAAATTATGCAATAGCACAAAAGCTATGATAAAATATTGCATATCTTTAGGATGACGAAGTTTTATTTCACCTATATTTTTGGATCACAGGTAGAATTTCACAAATAAATATAATATATAAATATATAGTCATACTTTTTTCTCAAAAATAAGAGTCCTTGAATTCATTCACCTAGCAAAATTGCAAATATTGCCACCAAACGCTTAAACTGAGTAAATATTAACAGGTATTAAGAATAGTTATATTTTGTAAGTATATTTACTACTCATATGTAACAAATCGTTTAAGTAAATAATTAAACAATAGTAAGCATCGCGCGGCCATAACAAATAAATCAATGAGTCATTGCCATTTATTACTTTACTGTTATTGTTATTGGTATGAGTAGCTACAATGCAGATATTCAGTCCAGTAGTGGACAATCGAAAGGTAAATAATAACTACTGCAGTCTGTACATGTGTACAAATGTAGTATGTGTGTATGTGTGTGATATGAAGTG